AGGCGTTTACACAGATGGCTGGGAAGCGACGCGCAGCGTGGATGACCTTCGCTGTGGTGCACTTGATCGAGGCGCGGCACTCAGCGCACACAGGCGCACGATGATTGATGAACGATGTAGATGTAGAAACGGGTGCTCACACTCGATGATGATGATACGTGAGCGGGTATGCGTGACCACGCAACGATGATGCCCAAATTTGTTTGCGAATTTCCAATAGCACGGATTAATCTTTCCGAAAATGACACTTTCTACTAAAAAAAACTCACTTTTCGATCAATTTACCGGGAACTATGCCAGGAGTCACTTAGTGAGAAAAAACTGATAATTTATATCAAGCGAATACCGAAAAAACTTCCAAAACAACGGAGCGCGAAACAAGTCGACCGTACTTCTTGCTAGGACGCAGTGGGATGTGTCTTTTTTTTATAATCCATTTATTTGTCAAGGCTCAATGGAGAACTAGTCACTCGCAGAAAATCAGAGCGCTTGGTTGAAAACCCCTGGGGGGGGATGTGCTGTCAAATCAGCCTACTGATCATCTTGTATGAAACTGGTTCCAAACGTAAACAAACGCTGTAGGTTTCTTATGGCTTGTATACGTTTGGAACCAGTTATGCGAGGTAGGCGACGATTGTTCGTATTTGACAGCCACCTCCCCCCCTTGGAAAACCCACCGAGACAATGCGGTGGGTAGAACTCAGTGGGTAAAGCTGTATATTATTTTCCCTTTTTACATGTGCTGCCTCCTAGTTGGGGATATTCTCCGCATTGAAATATTTTGACATGAGTGTAAATTGATAAACTGCCGTTATACGCATAAGAGTCCCACGGTACATAAGGATTGCATAGAAAATGGGACAGTTATGCGTATAACGGCATTAAAGCGCGCGGAAAACATGTGCAAACATTAAAGCATACTTTAAGGAGATTCAACCATACTCATTGTTCCTGCAGTTACTGTGCAACTGACTTCCTCCAAAAAAATAAATACTTAAAAATAGTCAGTTTCGTATACTGCTGGCATGTAAAACCTTTACAAAATTTCGCTTTCCAGAACTGACCAATGGAAAAAAAGGTAATTTCCCACTGCAGACCATTGGGTAGTTATTGCATCGTAGTTTTGCCTCGCGATAGCTCGTTCTTTCCGGTGGAGTACGTGATACAGTTGGCAAATTTATTTTCACTGTGAAACATCTTAGAAAAAGTTTCTAAACATAATTCCAGAATTGGAATAGTGATTCAAATTCACTGAATTCGAATTGATCTAATTGAACTAAATTTATCTGCGACACCACCGGTACAACTCGCTTCGTCAGGTCGTGTGGCGCCGAGCGACGCAACAAAAAGCTCTGACTCCACCAAATTCCGGGGAGGCCTATACCCCGACGATCATCGCACACGCACGAGTTGGTCTTTTACGAACAAACCGATTTCGCTGCCTGAAGCCTGCCTGTTCGTCGAGGAACATCTTCCAACGCTGGAAAGACGCCCAAGAACACCCACCGTTGGAGCAACGCCTGGAAGAATAGGGTTAGAAGTTATTGGTTCTTGTTTGTTAAAGTTCTTAGGACAATTGCAGCTCAATTAGCCAAACTCAAAAGCTACTCAAATAGACATTAAGTCACACAAGCTAGGTTTGCCCTGGTCAATATCGGAATCGAACTTTGAATTGATTCTGAATGTTAGGCCTTTGTGCAACTCCTTAAATTTAATTTTTCGATTGATTTCTTTCGGTACGAATAAATGTTTTGAATCTATTTTATTATTTCGAGTTTAGTTTTGATTGTACCAGATCGTGGTCGTCAAATGCTGAACATTGTCGAAGTTTTTTGTTTTTTTTGTTTTTGCTGAGACAGTTTTCTACTATTAAGTTTTGGAGTTCGTTTGCTTTTAGATTACCGCGCCTTTGCAATAGTTTGGTTAGTTTGCTCGTATCGGTTGGGTTAAAGTGAAACATCAGTTCTGAGATGATTGCTGGACTTGCCCTGAAGGGATAGTCTCATACCGGGTATTTGAACGGAGTTAACGGTACTTCTTTTGGGAAGGTGGCGCTTAAGCTGTTTGCTTTAAGGAACAGAACGGAACGTTGAACGTCTTTCGGGGTAGATCAAACATTAAAACTAAGTTATTAAATTTATGTAATACTCTATGGTTCTTCTGTTATATACTGGAGTTCATAACTGAACATTTTGTATCTATCAAAAACTAATCATAATACTTAAAAAAATATAAACTAATATTCAACCACCTAGCCCGTCGGCTTAAATTGCGTTTAGCACGTTGTGTTTGCTAAAATGAACTAAACACAAAAATCGTCATTCATAAACTATCTCAATTTGAAGATACATAATTTTCCCTGTATTTTGAGACTATTACAGAAAATTTTCATTGAGGGATCTTAAACCACGGCTATATCCAACCGTTCTGATTCATATTTAGGGCACTTAAAGCATGTGCTGCAGAAAACGGACACATACTTTATGATAATAGATTATTTAGTTTCGTTTCTACAGTACATTGCTGAAATATCTTTAAATTGAGCCATCTAAAATGATATTTTAAAGTAAACATCAAACACATTTCGTAAAAAAAAAACGTTTTTTAACTGGGGCTACTAAAATTCAAACTTCGGACACTTGTCTTTGGAGATTCAAATTTGACCTAATTTTGAATATGGTTTTTCAAGCTACGCACGATAATCTCATTATAATCTGTATAATCTCATTATACTGGTGGCGGGGAGGGGGGGGGAGGCACCCCTCACCATCCCTCTCCAAAGGGGGAGTTTGGTAAAAAGAGATGATTAAACTGATTTGTACCTTCCTAATACTCTGTTCAGACTATGGCTTATATCATGTAATATAGGCTGTCTTGCAATGAGCACTCATACATAGGATTTCCAGTGAAAACTAGATGTATGAGTGCTCATTGCAAGATAGCTTATATTACATGATATAAGCCATAGTCTGTCCAGGGTATAAAAGTTGTCTAGCTCGCTTTCTATTCTCTATATGCAATTTTCACACTGCCGTACTCTTAAACGGAACTATCAATTCTATACTTTCATTTCCTCATCTATCGTATAAAAATTACCACTTTAGTCTGTTATTTGAAATTAGCATCTTCAACTATGTCATTCTACTCGTTTATTATATCAACGTTATATTTGAATTCATGTTTAATGTCATTTAATCTTATTAAATATAAAAGTTACTGTAATTTTAAAATAATATTTAAATAAATGAATAAAACTGTCTTGTTCGAAGTATGAATCACATTTTTTCACAGTGAAAAATTGTGATTCATATTTCAGACACTTTATTTTTTTAAGAATGTAGGGGGTGCATTAATATTTTTGCCAGCAATGTTATCATTCAGGGATGATACATATAAAAATCGTGATATATTTTTAATGTTTATATCATATAGGTGTATAGGTATTTCAAGACATAATTATAAAGTGTCCGAAATATGAATTAGAACGGTATCAATGTAGAAAGAGCAAAAAAAGTGATGATAAATATTGTATTACTATCTTCGACACACTCCAAACACCGCAAAGTAGACGAAAACGGGTGAAATTGGTGATGGCTTAGTTAGGGAGAGAGAAATCGCACACACATAGGAGATAGGAGCGAACACACACAAGTAAACCAAAATCGATTGGAACATGTAAATAAAGATACGTAGGATAATGTTATGCACTAAATATACCGCCTGAAAAGTTCCGTAATAATAAATGTTTTCGTAATATGATCATCTCCTTAGATTTAATTAATTAAATGTATTCGACATTACTTCGCGTTCTCCGTTGTAGTTTGCGTGTCCCGTCCTCATGTTGAGAGTTTGAATGTTCGGGAGAGTAGTCCACTTCCAGATCGGGGTGACGTCTAGTGGCAAGTGACGAGACTGCCGATGATGATAAATTCTCTTTTGTAGAGGTTTTTAGGTATGGGTAAGCTCTCACCGACTCTCTGAGTGACTATCGTGTTTGTGGTTTCATGGAGATAATAGGGTTTTCCCATTTTGGACGTTTAGTTGAAAGCCGGCTTGCCTGATCCGTAAATCCTTTCTAGGAAATTTAATGGACTCGCCCTTAGGAGAGTCTCAACCGGGCAAATTTACATTGGGTGTGTGGTCTCCCTTGTGGAGTGGCGCTTAAGCCACACGTTTTTAGAGACGGATCGCCCGGGCTGGCTACAGAATGCGCGCGCGGCCCCAACGCCGCTCGCTTATATTGTGGCTGCTGACTTACTGCATTCATGAAAAAATTGGTTGGTACAGTATATTAAGTATCGGGGTAGGAATCCATGCCCGTGATTAATTGATTCTTTGATTTACACGATGCTTGACGTTCACCATTTTTTCAAAAGTAAATTATTTAAAACCAATAGTTTTCTTATTGGAATCGATACGTAGAGAAAATTCCGATCAATTAATGCAAATATATTGAACTGTATCATGCAATAGCGGAGTTATAATCGTTCAAAACCTATCAACTTATCGTTACATGTTTATTTTTCGTACACGCAACGTGTATACCCATATAAAAAACCTTCTTCAAAAATCCACACAGGACGTTTTTTTAGAGCAGTCTGTTCACTCTACTGCAACTCGGGATAAAAATCTCTTAGACCGTCATAAAAATTATACGTATTGTATTGGAACTAAAGAATAACTAAACATTTCAAGTCATTTGGTAATGTGGTTTAAAAGTTACAGCTGTGTATGTGTGTGGTATTAATTTCGTGTTCAACCTTTAAACTTAATGATGATTCAATAGTGTCGTCCTTGTTCATTTCACATGATTATCATGTTCCCAAGTGGATGCAATATTTAATTAAAAATTAAATGTTCAGATTAAAAGAGTGTCTGGTATTCGGTGCATTACGGTATGCATTTAGTCACTTTCTGTTTCTCATAAATATAATTTGTCGATCACAAACATAATTTACATTCAAATAAATTTATGGTTTCATCTTTCTTTCCTATTTCAGAAAAGCTGGCATATAAGACTGTAATAAATTAGAGAGGTAAGTACCAACGTCCAAATTTTTTCACTGAGAAATGCCAGTCTTGTAAAAATTAGTTCAGTAAAAAAATCCCATAGGGAAGATTACTAGTTATGGCTATACTTTTCTATTATGGTGTGTTCCAATTATTACCTATAAAATTCCCATATGTCATAATAGGAACGTATAGCTTTAACTAGTACATCTACCCTACATCCTTGTGAAACGGAGAATTGATCAAATACTACCTATATGAAAAATATAACCATATGTAAAAATCTCTCCTTATTACTATTATTCATTGATATATATATATATATTTTTCTCCATTCCATTAAGTTTATCACGCTTTAAGGGGTCAGAGCGCGGAGGATTAAAAATGTGTGACAAGTAACGCATATGGTATAGGAAAAACGTGACGAAAGGAAGGTTTTTATTTTTCCAGAATTTAGCATGATTTACTTAATGCATACTCCCAATGGTATCTTAACAGCTACAGAGGCAGAATAAATTGGAAAGTGACTGAAAATTGTTGAAAAAAAATTTCAAAGTGGGCCGCAATCGATAAATGTTTGAGAATTACTGCGAAAGTTACAACTAATCCCTCCCTTTCCTACTTTAGCAATTAAAACTAACTGAAAATCCCGGTAGCTAAAGTTCCCCCTTCATTAGCGCATTTAAAAGGCGGTACTTTCCGTGCAGTTATTTGTGGCATGCACTCTGGATAGATATGAAGGGACTTTTCCAGTCGTATAAAATCAGGTAGGCAGACTAAACAACAATTGAGAAAAAATGCACATAGAAAAACACTTAATTGATTGAAATGCCTTTCATGTTTCTCAATCGGTTCGGTTGGAGTGTCCTAATAGTGCAATTTGTACAAATATTCTAAAATTAATTTGCTTAACTAATGTTGTCGGGCCAATCCCCAGCAGTGGAGTCATAGAGTGGTACATGGAGCATTAAAGCGCAGCTTGTTCCAAGACCAGTAGCAAATGCCGGTCTTGCTTTTATGTTTGGCTGTCAGGTGGAAGATTTATGAAAATTACAGATGCAATGAGTTTGAAACTAAAGCTTGTGTAGCAAATGACTGAACGTTAATATATTGCTGATCAACATTTAGTTGAAAATAGGTTTCTCCATGATCAATACATAAGTATAACCTTATCGATTTTATTCATTATTTTACTGTTGAAGAATTCAATGAAACGGACTTCATGTAGAATTGTTTGATACAATTGAAATTTTCACAAGGCTCCCTCAAACTGCTTTTGCCACTATGGTGAAATTCTCGTAGGAACCCGCGAGCGGCAAGTTTGCCGCAGCGTCAATAATGTCGGCAACAGATTCGTCGTTGAATGAAGAGCTGCTTTTGTTGATTAGTTCAGTGCCAACATTTCAAAGGGGCGTAATTGCATTTGTAAACAATGGCTTTAGTCGTCGATTTCTCGCGAATGAAAGCTCACTCATGAAAATGAATGACACCAGCATGCAGAGGTATGTTTCCTGTATCAGCTAGCATTTGTAATGTGGAGGGGTGGGTTTTAATTTGCGAGAAATCGACGTCTAAAGCCATTGTTTACAAAAGCAATTACGCCCCTTTGAAATGTGCCGAATAATGAGTCTTGTCAGATTTAAGTCACTTTCTAGAAGGCAACAGGCGTATTTCCGTGTGTGATCAATGTGGCTTCAGCCACTAAACATTGCTGCCAATGAATTCTCCTGTGATTTTATGAGATTTTAGCTCAAGTTAGACTCTTGCCATTTCTCCGATGGCACCTGTAACTTGCAAGTTACATGTATGACCTGGTACTAAGTATTACCAGCAACTTTGATTTACCCATTATCTAGTGATTTTATGTTTCGCCTAATAGGTTTCGGCTCATGACAGATTTTGTCGCATACGCAATTTTTCGGTGCACGCGATGCAAGTATTTAAAATATTTGACAAATCTCAGGTAATTACGAGGCAGAATGTGTCTTTTCTTCATTCAGATGAAGAATTCAATAATCAAATGTCATGATTACATGCATCGGAGAACGATAGTTCCGTTGCGTTCCATGTTTCCTGAAAAAGCTAAAATCTGACGCGAATCTTTCCGGTTTAAATTAAGCTTTGTCTATGTTTTCAACAGAAGGGAATATGAATCTTCCATAGCTATTTAGACCATTTTGACTGAAGCGCCATATTTCATAAGGGCGTATGTATTTTCATGGGCACTATGTTTGAGAAAAAACATATCGCAGAAATCGTTTTCGAGGTATTTAGAAAATACCTAAAAAGTTTTCAACGATTTCTAATGTTGCACCTTGATGATCCACAATCGGTTTAAAGTTACAGGCAGAAAGTAATGATTATTTCTACTTTCTCATGTAGAATTTGTTGAACAATATTGTACCTAAATACGCAGTAATCAAATATCATTGGTAAGTACTATTATTTTCCTGCAGCACATCGTAACGGTATTGCAAAAAATAAGGAGAAGTGCTTCAGTTTTGACCATAGTCCCTTATTTTGACCATACGTCAGAAAGAAAATTATTAAATCGCAATTTTCATGCGCTTTGTGGGCGATATGTATATGTCCTCCGATGAATGAGATTTGATTCAACAATCTAAACACAAATTAAGATCTCAAACATGTAAAAAATGTGAAATATCATCAAAATATGACCAATAAAGGAGAATGGTCAAAAAAGGTGCGATTCCCATACCTTTGATTGTACTCAAGCTAATGCAGATTTTATCATCAACCATCAATTGATAAATCACTTGTAACGTTGTAACGTATTTAACTTTCAATAAATGAGAATGGATTAATGTGCTTTAGACCGTTTCAAAATAACGACAAAAATCCCAAGTAACAATTTGGGTTTTATGAGGATTCCGTAGACCATGATTCAGACTTTTAGATTGTTTTAAACCCTCGCTAAGACTTGCAAACTTTATTACTAATGAAGACTTCCTCCCTTTCGATGTAGCCGTCTGCACTTGTCAACCAAGCTCACCTCTTATCTATCTCAGAGTCGACAAATTGTACTTGAACAAAATCACCTGAATCACTCAACGAAATTCCAACCTGAAACTTTTATTTTGGTGTATGCAAGAATTGGTACACAAGCGTTAAGTTACTTTAAGAAAACCAAGCCGAATGAAATATATTCAGGGAGCAGTAAAATTTACACAAGAACCAATTTGTGCACGCACTTTTTGTATTGTATAGCAAAAAGGGAAATGTTCTAGGTGTCCGCAGATTCCACGTGTTCGTCGCTCGATTACTTCTCCCTTCTAGGGCCGTGATGTCGTTCCAATTCCAATTCTTGTGTTGACGTACGACCGGTTCAACGACTGGGAAGCGGTTTCACTGTGCACAATATTCACTACTGTCATCGAGAGGAATTCAGCCTAACTCGCTAAGCGACACCTTGTCTCAAGCTAACCAACTGGCCTCAGCGTATCGATGAGGTCCAGTTCACCACAATGTGGGCACTAAACCGCGCACTATAACTTATTGTTCTTAGCGAGATAGGTTGCACTTGGAGTCTGAGCTCCTTTAGCATGTATAATTAAGATTCAACCGGAGGAAAATTATTAATTATCACTGAACTGTCCAACACTTTTCATTTTCCGGTAAAAATGACGGGTTTGGTTTTCACTTACTGAACTTCTAGAAAGACACCTGTAGATGCACCAATCTTCTTCGCTTCCCAGGATCTGAGAGAACGTCATTCGAGGACCCTTGTATAGAAACGACAGTTTCAGGCAGGCATTATCATCATACGATCATCAGCTTATCGATGACGATTGTATCACATGATTTTGCGTGCCTCTGGGTTTCTCTTGCATGCGTGTCGAACAGTAGGTAGTCTTCTCCGCTGCAGCAATATTGGAGCAATAGACACCTTATCTCCTACACTAGCTAGAGCTATTCGAAAACCCTATCTTTACAACTCCTGGCTGACACGTTTAATTCAACGATACCGTTCCGATTCAAATTTCGGACACTTTCATTTTTAATTAAATATTACATCCAGTTAGAAACAAAGTAATAATGTTAGATGATCGTGGAGGGCACTAGTCAAAAAAATTTAAAATTTACAAGGCATGTGGATCATATTCGACCGAGATAATCAACTTTTAAAAGTGTCCGAAATTCGAGTTTAAGTGTCCGAAATTTGAATCGGCACGGTACATTCAATGCTTTTCGCTGCTCCCAATAAAGAAAAAAGGAAAGAATAAAGAAGTACCTAATGAAATTGGCTAGCTAGCGGAATGCTTAAATAAAACAGCAAAAAAGGGGTTATCTTCCATTTAATTCCACTTAAATAATTTTGGTATCCATGACAGATACGTATTTCGACTACAGTCTTCATCAGTGTCATTCCCACTAAAGACTTATCAAAAACCTAACCCCCTTAAGTACTCATCCCCTAGGTATAAATGTCAAGATCACAGGTATAAAAATGAACATTACATTACCCCGCATGTCACTACGCCGAACGCCGTTACCCTGAATGCTATTACCCCTTATGTACTACTATCCCGAATGACCATTACCCCAAAATTAAGACAAATGTAAGAACAGCATGAGATCTAGGGCATATTTAACGCATAATTTTATAGATTTTTTTTTTGTAGTTTGTACCAAATACAAATAAAAATTTCTCATTGGAATTTAGAAGCATTTAATTTTTCAACATATAAGGGAAATGGATGTAATGTCGGCCTAAATGCCTCTAATTTGGGCCCATACATAAATTCAGCAATCGACTAAATTTTCAATAGCGACCAAAAATATCCATACGCGTTCATTCAGATAAAATTGATAAATAACAGATTTTTAGCGATGGGCCCAATCTTATATCCATGGGCCAACATTAAAGCCATTTCCCCTAGGTACACTAAAGTCTTTTTTTACGACGACTTTCGAAATAGCACGGTTTATTTACACCGATTTTTGAAGTAACGCAGTTAAAGCCACAACATTCGAAGGGAACGGACTTTAAAAAAAAACAATTTTC